ATTATTATATAAATTAAAAAAAAAAAAATTAATGACTATAATCTTTATTTTCATAATGCTAACCCTTATATTAAATTAGCTTAACTCAATACAAGTTGAAGCATTCTTTTAGGAAAACATACCTTACTATCATTGCACTGTATTTTATTTAATAACTAAAACAATTGAAGTTACATAAAAAAATATTAATTATTTGATTCATTTTTTTAAATTAAAAGTTTCATTTCCAAAAACTGAAATAATATAATAGCTAATCGTATGAAGGCAAAAAACTAATACCATAATTGTTAAACAAATTCACCTCGCAATGAGCGACATGAATATAGTGGAAATTATAGTTGCGGCGTCGCATATTCCGAACATTTCAGCAATAAAATTGTTGATTCTTCTTAATAGCTAAATCTACATAAGTATATTAAACCATAGAACAAAATTTAGTGCTAAATCCATTCTAAGATAGTTGAAGGCGTAATTCTAAAAGATTTTTATTTTTATTTTTTATTGTGGAGTATGGGAGCCTCTATGTAACACACTCAGAGGTATTTAGATCTGGAGTTGGGCCGAGGTGACGGCCCGGCAGGTTGAGGGCCAACGGTGTATGGGGGCCGAGCTGAAATCAACTACGCCCGAATGGCCACAGAACTTGGGCGGGCAGATGTGACTGAGTGTTGCGCCCCGGACCGACCAGAAACTGCCGGCCAGGATAGACCGGTCAGACCAGGAATAACTCGGTCCAGGATGTGAAGCCAGACAGGCTGACGAGACCGGCGCCCGGAAAGGCCGCGGTCTAGCACGAGGTAGTTGATGACTGCAGGAAGCCAACAAGAGAGAGCCGGGCTAGCTCTGCCGAGATGCCACTAGCCCCGGTCTCCACGTGTTTGTCCGGTTTAGGCGCATGATATGAAGCAGACATGGAGGTAGAGCAGCTCGGCTGCGAGCTCCAACTGTTGAAGTCAGGCAGTTAGGTTAGGTGGTGAATGAATGGTTATCGCTGACGATGGGATAGCAGAGCACGTGTCAGAGATACTGGAGGGATATGGGGCTCAGAAGTAATAAGTAATGTCTGCGCCCCCCATACGCAACACACGAACACATCTGTAAGGATTTCTTACACTCAAACACTCTCTCCCTTCTCTCTATTCCCTCTAAGGTGTGTGCTAACTTGACCGTCGGAGGGTTTTTCCGGCCACACACCGCCGGGTAGCTCACCATTACTTGCTCGCAGGTGATCGGACATCGACGGAGCTCGGAAGAAAAGAATACGGGCACGCTGGAATATTTGCTCCCCGTACACACACCATTAATTATCTCATCTCACACTAGTACTTAATACACACCACACACAATTTTTATTTATTTTTTCTTTTTATATCTTTTTCTCAATTCACACCATAAAATTTCTCAAATACCCCCATCTTCTCCATTAACCCTAACCCTAACACTTAAATGCCACCACTTCTACTATCGGTGCTGGCGTCGGCAATGGTGCTGCTTCCTTCCTAAGCAGTCACCCTACAGCCACCCCTTTCTATCCCTATCTCTCTTTGTAGATAAATTGTTCGACAATCTTACGTGTACTGTGTGTGAAAATCTAAATTAAAAGGAAATACTTACAGACATAATGTAAAAATTCTATACTTTTAATTTAGAATTGTGTTCGATGCAATTTCCTTAAAACAAATTTGTCTCGGTACAATGCTCATGAGATTATTGGACGTTCACCTACAATATACAACGATCAAACCTTATAAAGCAACCTTTTAAAGCACCTCTATCCGATACTTTAAATCTAATGTAACACTCCAACAGTCATATTTTGACATCAAGTATCAATTCTATCCGGTATGTCAAAAATTGATGTGACTTTTGATATCACTGATGTGACTTTTGATATCATCTCTTCATGTCAATTTTGACATGAAGACCCCTGATGCTTTTAAATTTTTTTTTTTTTTTTTCTTCAATTAAAGCATCCAACAACACAATTTGTGATAGATTGAGGTTGTCAATCAGCCCACGTTATGTCATGACTCTTCCTCTTTTCTTTTTTTTTTCTTTTTTTACACCAACCGAGTATTCTTTGAGAATGGTAATATTTATTTTTATTTTTATTTTAATTCAAAATCGGCAACCTGTATGTCTTTATTACCGTTGTAAAAAAAAAAATATTTCAATTTATTTTATTATCTATACATTATTTTATAAATATAAAATGCTATTTAAATGGCATCAAACCTCTTTTAAAAATAAATTTCTTTTAATTAGTAAAATGAAAGAGTTTAAATTTAAAAAATAATATAATAATAGATTTGATATATTTAGTGGAGAGCTTCTATTGCCACCCAAGACTTAAAAAAATTTAAGGGACCTACGAGTAGGTCCTAATAGGTGGACTTATTGTCCAATAGATCCTATGATAATTAATGAAGTTTTTCATCAAACACTATAAAAAATGTCACTAATTGTTAATTTTCACTGACAGTTTGAAAATTATCACAAAAAAGTCACTAATTATAAATTTTAGCGATAATTTAAAAAAAAAAAAAGCGTCACTAATCTCAACTTTTAGCGATAGTTTGAAAAATTAGTCACAGAAAAATATCAGTAATTGTAAGTTTTAGAAACAATTTATAAAAATCATGACAAAAAAAAGTCATTAATTGTCAATTTTTAGCGGCATGAAAAAAAAATTATCACAAAAAATTATTTTTAGTGACGATTTTACAAGAACTTATTTTTAATAGGACTCAATAGGAATTAAATCCAATTATTAGAATCTATTGATAGTTTATCAAAATATTTGACATACCAAATTTTAAAGATTTAGGTTGAAACGCTTGCAAGTTTAGCAAATCTTGCTGTTTAGAACTCTTTTTTATAAAAGACTGACAAAGTGCTGCTGTTTAGAACTCTTTTTTACAAAAGACTGACAAAGTGCCGAAAGAAAGAAGACAACATGAGTTGAATTTGATTCCAAATAAATGCAGCCGGGGGCTTGTTTATATAAGCAGATTGGTAGCCCTTTGAATAACCATGGTGACACAATATAAGTATGTTACAAAATTTTAGCATGATAGATTATTGAATATTGCCACATCATGTATTTTTTTTTTATTTATTATTATATGAATTCAAAAAAAATTAATGACTTAATCTGTATTTCATAAATGCCAACCCTTATATTAAAACTAGCTTAATTCAAAATACAAGTTGAAAGTCTGGAGGCCGAGTTGAATTAATAAGGAAGGCCAACGAATCCGGTTGAGACATCAGGCCGAAGACAATTCGGCCTTAACCAGGGGCTCAAGGAGCCGAGTATTCGAATCGGCCATATAAGGAGCTGAACGGGGAGCCAACACTCAGTAGGAAGGCCGACTAAATAACTATGTGCAAGGTCAAGAGTGGGCTCGACCCTTGGGTCTAGACGTAATATAAAAATGGTGGAATGTCAGCCAAAGAGAGGTATGTGAAAACAAAAAAGATAGCTTGAGATAGAAGTAAATTTGAGAGGATACTGACTTGTCTGTCGGAGTGCTAATTCCGACACTCCCGACCGGAGTGTTCATCTCTTTTTTAGGTAGCAATCAGAGGATCAAGAGCATCTAACTAGATCCAAGAGTATTTCTAAACCGCTTCACCACAATTGGCGCCATCTGTAGGAATACTCAAGTGCATCCATGGCAGGCGAGACAGATGATCCTTCGATAGTTGCTGACGATATTACACCAAGAGATGACATTACTCCAAGAAACATGTTTGGATCGGAGAATATCACCGCGCAAAGGGCCTTGAACTTCGATCCAGTAGCTCAAACCTCACCTTCAACTTATGTGTAGGAGACTGTGCAGCCGATCCTAGATCAAGCAAAACGAAACGAACAGCGTCTGGAAGATATGATGACTGAGAACGAGCGCTTACATAAGGAATTGGCCATGGAGTTAGCCAAATCCCAACAGGCCATACGTTATGACTGGGGTCGATCCCTAGAAAAGAAGGATGATCGATGACGTCGACTACGGAAACGTGATAGTGGTAATGATTTTGACTCACCATCTTAGGAACCCAGAAAGAAGGGGCGAGTTGGTGTATCGAGCTCATCCGAAGGAAGTCCATATGTACGGCACAGGCGAGGGAAATGAAGTGATGGTTCAAATGAAGAGAACAGGCACGATCCTTTCGTACGGCACATTGCAAGAGTTGTGCTGCCTAAAAAGTTCAAAGCACCAACATTCACTCTGTATGACGGAAAATCAGACCCCACAGATCACATTCGTCATTATAAACAAGCAATGACGTTGCATGCTGACGATGAAGCCCTCATGTGTCGGATGTTTCCAAGCAGCATGGGACCATTGGCAGTTAGATGGTACTATAAACTGGAGTTGGCGTCAATAAGAAATTTTCATCAGCTCCAAAAATCCTTTAGGGCAAGATTTATCACCAACAAAGTTCAGCAAAAGCAAGCCGACTCTCTCTGGGTGATGCAGATTAAACCAGAAGAGACCTTCCGTGAATATTCGGCGTGTTATTAGAAGTGTTTTAACTTGGTGGATGATGCCTACAATGATTACATGGCCATTATCGCCGTTAAGATGGGGTTACATCCCGATAGTCCTCTCCGCAGTTCGTTGACCAGACGGCCTCCCAAAACAGTTTGGGCACTAATGAAGAAGGTTGAGGAGTACTGTAAGGTAGAAGACGATGCCTTATGGGTTAAGGCTGGACAAAAAGTTGCTAAATTGGCTTCATCTGGCATGGTTTAGCCGATAAGTACCGTGCCATCAAGGAGCCTTGAACCTAGGACTCGGGCTAAACGAGACAACTGGCGTGACTCTTGCCGATCAAGCGGGCAGTGTTCTCACTATTCGAATGAATAGTATCAAGTAGATAGCAGGTGCACTAGACGTTCGGACAAGAAGTATACGAAAGTGGCGGAGTCGATCAGTAAGATCTTACCCAAAGTCTAGCATCTTCCATTCTTTAAGTGGTAGTCTAAGATGATGGGGCCTCCTGATACTAAGAGAAGGGATAGGCGGTGCGAATATCACAAGGACCATGGCCATGACACTAACAACTGTTATGCATTGAAGGACCACCTGGAGGAATTAGTGCAAGATGGCCAGCTGGCGCAACATGTCCGAAAGAATAATCCACTGAACACGGTAACTCTACGGCCGGATTCACCTCCACTTGGTGTAATTCACATGATATACAGCCTACCGTTGCCAACCCAAGTACATACAATTCAGTTGCAACCTAGCCTATCCAAGCCGATCACACTAGCTAAACGGCCTCATGAAATTGGCAAGATCAGCTTTGATGACACTGACCTAGATGGAGCAACTCTCCCTCACGCTGATCCCCTCATCGTTGAGCTACGCGTGAACCGATTCACAGTCGAGCGTGTTCTTATTGATTACGGAAGCACCTTAGGAATAATGTATTATAAGACATTCGTTAAACTCGGCTTCACTAATTCGGATATGTTATCGGCCGATTACCCATTGTTCGGCTTCAATGCCAACCCCGAGTATCCCTTGGGGAGGATCACACTAGCAGTACAGGCGGGTACCAAATCAGTCGACATGGAATTTCTAGTGGTCAAACTCCCGTCGCCAGACAATCTTATCATGGGAAGGACCTGGTTGCATGCTATGCAAGCTGTGCCAAGCACTTACCATCAACTACTCTGCTTTCCAACTGAATATGGCATTGAGCAAATTCGGGGCTCTCAGAAATCGGCACAGACATGCTATCTTATTGTTGCTGCAAAAAGGCCAAAGGAACCAGAGGTGAACGCAATTGAAGTACCGGATCGAGAGAGTCTCGAGGACATTGGAAAAACCCCTAGCGAGAAGGCAACCAAAGACCTTGATCGGATCGAAATCAATAGAAGCCCAGACAAATTCTTCATAATCGGCACTTCCTTGAACGAAGTTGACAGACGTGAGTTTGTTTCCTTCTTACTCGGCATGTAATGCCTACAAAATATAACCACAGATTCAATCGAATTATAAATAGATAATTACATAAATCAGAGTGTAACGTTCTTACATTTCATAGAGTTAATAGTACAAAAAAGTTAAACATAAACAAACGCCCTATAGGCTTGCACCTTTCCAAGCCTTGACTTGGTTACAACAAAATGAGACTAACTCTTACAAATAAAGACCTTGGCTATACAAGAATACACAATCAAAATAAAGAAGCTCTTGCTCCCAAAAGTCCCTCCAAACTACTGTCTTGGTGCAGGCATGCCATCATTACCTGAAAATGTTTTTCCCAAATAGGGTGAGCCACAACCCAGTAGGAATGATCTAACACAATATATGAGATTTAACAAAGATATAAGTGCATATGCCTATACAATGCCCGGGATAAAACATTCATTCTTTTATGTTGCCAAAGAATACCAATTCCATATTCTCTTTCATTTTCATCCAATTCATTTCAATATATAAGCCAATTTCATTACTTCTTTAATAACCTAAATGAGACTAGAACTCAATGGTTCTACAATCACATCATCAACATACAACACTTCAAACTGCTATTTTACGGATATTTTATCTGCGGGATCGGCACCCATGTATAAATTTCGGGACTTTCACCCAGGACACTCCAGCTAACTTAGTTATAATGGAGTCCATCCCCTTTCTATTTCTAAACAATGGAGTACATTCCCTTTCTCCTCCCAAACAATCATACATATACAATGTATTTAAACACATAATCATACATGGAGTACATCACATTTTTCCTCCCAAACATTCAAACATATACAATATATATAAACGTAGTCATATTCAATGACAACCAACAAAAGATTAGTTTCAATTCATCTAATCCACATCCAATTTCTACAACAATCAAAACTATCCTCCATCGATAGCCCATTACAGATATTTCTAAACAGATATACAATTTCAAGACAGATAATTTATTCAAAATTTCCAAAGGTATGAAGTATTACATACCCAATTCCACCATCTATTTCAACACTCGCTCAATTCATGTTTACAACACCAATCTCAATATTTATACAAAATAAACATGATAGTCATTTTAGGGCAAAAATTACCTTTTTCAAAATATCAATCCAAGTACCAAAATCAACCATTTTGACGCAACATGACTTCATTTTCAAGCCCCATGTTCATTTATTTCACTTCTACCAAAAACCCCTCTTTTCATTTCACCCAAACCCTAGGTTTGTTCAAACTACTCCCGAATCTCACCATTGTCACACAATCACAAATAACTAAGTTAAAAATCATAATAAAGTGTAGAAAATCCTTATCTCAAGTTAGAAGACGAGTAAAGCAATCGGATCAAAATGAAGATCTTGACGTACTCTACATTTTTCTCAAAGGCACTAGGGTGAAGAACACGATAGATCTAGGTCAAAATGTAGAGAGAGAGAGAGAGAGAGTATTTTAGGGAGAGAAACTCAAGATCTAGGGTTTTGGAGAGTTTTAGAGAGAGAGAGGAATGAAAAAGTGAACAAAAACATCATCTTCACGGACTGTTATACACGCAGTCCGCTCGAGCGTGAAAAGTGACGCTCGAGCGTCAAACACAAAGTTCCACTCGAGTGCAGAACTAGACGCTCAAGCATCTATCTGCTTGAGCGTAGGAAACTCTGCTCGAGCGTCGAATACACTCCCTCAGTATTTGCAGGTCTACAAAAATACTGAGAGTTGAAAAATCCTGCTTGAGTGTGAGAATGGCCGCTCGAGCGGAGGAGCAAAATTTGTGAAGCCCGCTCGAGCACAAGAATTCCCGCTTGAGTGGAAGAGCCAAAATCTAGGCAACAAAGGTTTGGAAACACAAGCAACCAACCTGTTCTGAATGCACAACTACAACCCAATAACCAAAATAAGAGGAAGACAAGGGAAACAAGATATAAATAACCATTCAAAACTATACCAACCCAAGTCCGGAGTACAACAAGAGACGGGTCAAAAAAAAAAAAAACCGAAATCGCTATAACCTCCCCCCCTTGAAGAATTTTGCCCTCGAAATTAAAAATCAAGTTAAAAATCAACATTAAATCATTCATAACAATGTTATTTTCACAAACCCATTACCATGACCCATTCTCTGGTCATCCATTCTCATCGACTCGATACACAAGTCCCATATTAAAATGAAATTTACAATTTCCCAAAGCATTCACAATGTTCAAAACTTATACAACATCTGCAATGTTTTCAAAAGTGATATAACACATATGATATTCCTTATTCTCAATACATATGCAATGTTTATATCGACTCCATGTTTCCAAGATATCAATAACATATACAATGTTCTTATAATTTAAAACATATACAATGCTTGTACCTGACATTATCATAATCGAAATCTTAACACATGTTTAGGCATCAATAAACAAGTCCGGATATTTCTCTCGAACTTCTAATTCACGTTCCCAAGTTGCTTCCTCAACTCCGTGGTGTTTCCACAATACTTTAACCAAGGGGATCGTTTTGCCTTGCAAAACTTGGTCCGGCGTATCCAAGATCCTCACCAGTCTCTCCTCATACGAAGCATCCTCATCTACCTCCAAGTCAGTCCAATCCAACACGTGCGATTGATTCGGCTCATACTTCCGAAGCATACTAATATAAAACACGCTATACACTTTGAAAAGTTTTGGCGGCAACGCCAAACGGTAAGCAACCTTCCCAATCCGTTCAAGGATTTCAAAAGGTCTAATAAATCGAGGGGATAGCGTCCCACTCTTCCCAAATCTCATCAAACCCTGCCTAGGTGATATTTTCAAAAAGACATGATCACCCACCTCAAAAGACAAGGGTCTCCTCCTATGGTTGGCATAACTCATTGGCAACTCTGGGCCGTAACCAATCTCTTATGAATAAGTGCTACCTTCTCCGTCATTTTCTGAACCAACTCTGGGCCCAACAAAGGTGTATCACCCACCTCGGCCCAACACACCGGAAATGTACACGGTCGGCCATACAAGGCCTCAAACGGTGCCATGTCAATACTCGATTGGAAGCTATTGTTATAGGCAAACTCCACTAAGGGTAGGTGCCTCTCCCACGAACCCTTGAAGTCAATAACACATCCTCGAAGCATATCCTCAAGGATCTGAATAGTACGCTCGGACTACCCGTCAGTCTGAGGATGATACGCAGTATTAAAGGTCAATCTAGTGCCCAGGGCACTCTGCAAACTCTGCCACAACCGAGCTGTGAAACGCGGATCTCTATCCGAAACAATCGTCACAGGGAGCCCGTGCAACCTCACTATGTCCCTGATATACAAGTCGGCAAGATAGTCTACCGAATCACTCACGCGCAAAGGTATGAAGTGTGCAGACTTGGTTAACTAGTCAACTACCACCCAAATGGCATCACTACCTCGTTGAGTCATCGGAAGGCCCACAACAAAATCTATCGTGGCATGCTCCCACTTTCACTCGGCTATAGGCAAGGGTTGTAACAAACCCGCTAGCCTTTGATGCTCGGCCTTCACTTGCTGACAAGTAAGGCATTTCGATACAAACATAGCTATATCCTTCTTCATACCTCTCCACAAAAATTGGTGACTAAGATCGTGATACATCTTTCTGCCTCCTGGATACATCGCAAGGCATGGATGGTGAAACTCTCTGAGTATTTCCTCTTGGCAAGATTTCGACACAAATAAACGGTCATGATATCTCACACTCTGGTTGGAATACACATTCAAGCCCCTCTCCGCCTTCCCACTGGAAATCTTCTCCCTGAGGGTTTCTACTTCAAGGTCACTCTTCTGCCCTTCTAACACTCAGTTCACAAGTGTAGGTTGTGCAACTACCGAAAACAAGGCAGTAGATTCAAGGACTCACCAAGATGCAGGTCAAACTCCCCAAGAATACCCAACATCTCCCATTCCCGAATGGCGATACAAGCCACACTGTTAACTGATTTCCTACTCAAAGCATCGACCACAATGTTGGCCTTTCCGGGATGATAATGCAGCTCGAAATCATAATCCTCTATGAACTCCATCCACTTTCTCTACCTCAAATTCAGATCCTTCTGTGTAAACAGATATTTCAGACTCTTATGATTGGAAAACACCTCAAATCTCTCACCATACAGATAGTGCCTCCAAATCTTTAAAGCAAATATCACCGCTGCTAACTCTAGGTCATGAGTAGGGTAGTTCCTCTTATGTGTTTTTAACTGCCGTGAGCCATAGGTTATGACTTTCCCCTATTGCATCAATACACAACCCAAACCTTCCCGTGAGGCATCACAATATACCGAATAGCCCAAACCCTTCTCCAGAATAATCAATACTGGAGTAGTGGTGACTCTAATCTTAAGCTCTTGGAACGACTTCTCACAAGTCTCACTCCACACGAATTTGACTCATTTCCTCGTCAGTCTAGTCAACAGTGAAGCTAGTCTAGAGAAATCCCTCACAAATCTCCGATAATACCTTGTCAACCCCAGAAAACTATGGATCTCAAAAGATTCTTAGGTTGTGCCCAATCTTACACTGCCTCTATCTTGGATGAATCTACAGTCACCCCTTCCCCGGATACTATATGGCCTAAGAACTTAACCTCTTTCAGCCATAATTCATACTTCTCGAACTTAGCATACAGCTTGTGGGCTCTAAGTAACTCAAGTACTACCCGTAAGTGTTCCTCATGTTCCTCCTTAGAGGGTGAGTAAATCAAAATTTCGTCCACAAAGACGACCACGAAACGGTCTAGAAACTCATGGAAGATCTAATTCATCAAATCCATAAACGCAGTCGGTGCATTGGTTAGCTGAAAATGCATCACTAGGAACTCGTAATTGCCATATCGCGTACGGAATGCCGTCTTGGGGATATCCTCCTCCCTTACCCTCAACTAATGATAACCCAACCTCAGGTCTATCTTAGAGAAACAACAAGACCCTTTCAACTAATCAAAGAGATCATCTATATGAGGCATTGGATACTTGTTCTT